ACAGGCTGCAGGTAAGGGAGACAGAGATCTGACAACATTATATCAAATAACCAGGTTACTATCTGGGAGGGAAGAGATCAACGCAGACGAAACCAATGAAAGATAGTGAAGGAAACCTAGTTACCAAGGAGCAGAAAGAAACAAGGGAAACGATGGGTTGACCACTCCAAAAAACTCTTGAATCAACCACCACCTGGAACTCGTCCAGAAAAATCACCAGCAGCACAGCCACAGAACTACCAGTGAACACAAGCCCTCTGACAAGAGCCAAAGTCCTGAACGCCATAAAGTTGCTGAGATCCGAGAAAGCAGCAGGACCAGATGGAATTCCCCCAGAAGCACTGAAAACAGACGCAGAGACGACGGTGGACATTTTCACACCACTACTGCAGAAGGTTTGGAATGAAGGGAGGAAAGGCACCTGGAGATTCGAAGAAGGGCTACCTTGTCAAACTCCCAAACAATGGAGACCTAAGTATTTGCAAGAACTGGCGTGTAATCATACTACTGTCCCTGTCCACCCAAAGCAAGCAAAATGTTAAGTCGCATCATCCTGGAGAGACTAAACAATACTCTGGATTCAAAACTACGACCGGAACAGGATGGATGGCTGGCTTCAGGAAGAACAAATCCTGTGCGGATGAAATTGCAACGTTACGCATCATGATAGAACAGAGCATAGAATGCTAGTCAACTCTTCACCTTACCTCAAATTCATCGACTTTGAAAAGGTCTTGGACAGCGTCGACCGAGAAGTAATTTGGCGGGCAGGTGCTTCAACACTACGGTTTTAATACCATAAACCTTTATCAACCTCATTCAACAGCAGCTATATGCTATGCTATGCCATGCCATGCCATGCTATGGTATGCTATATGATGCTACATGCGAAGTGATTCACAATGGAAAGCTCAGTGATGCCTTTGAAACGAAGTGAAGACAGGAGTAAGACAAGGTTGTCGCCTACTATCACCGATCATCTTCCTGATTGTGGTCGACTGGACTGGACTGGACTGGACTGGATCATGCAACAAACAGTGAGGAGCGAGAAGGTGGGCATACGCTGGTTGGACCGATGAAAAGACCCCAGAGTAAGATTTGGATTTCGCCGACGATGATGATTTATGTCTCATGTATTGTCACACAAACTCGAAGATCTACAGGCGAAAACTAACACGTTGTCAGAAGAGGCAGGGCAGGTCAGGATAGGGCAGCGAAGATGGGACTTCCTTCATGTGAACGTAGAGAAGACAGTGGTGATGAAGATACCCAACCAACAACAACAACAAGCACCAATCACCATGAACAGGAGAAACCTAAAGGAAGTTGTCTGTTTCACCTACTTAGGCGAGGCAGCATCGTTTCAACTACAGGTGGCGACACAGGACACAGGCACAGATGAGGATTTCAAAGCCAGGATCGGAAAAGCCAGCAAAACAGGCATTCACTAACGTGAAATCAGTGTGGAGATCTACTGCACAGCACTGCACTGCACCGCACTGCACTCAGCATAAAGCATGAACAAGATCCGGATTTTCAACACTAATTCAGTGCTTCTATGTGAAGGTTGAGAGACTTGGCGCGTTACGAAAAGCATTTCCAACAGACTGCAGACATTCATCAACAGCTGTTGCCTACACTGACTCGATGCTGAAGATCAGATGAGCAGAATAATAAGAATAAGCAACAAGGAACTCACTCTGGCCTGGCAACGAACCGAATGAGAATTTATCGCGCAACAAAATATGCAGAAGAAAGTGGAGATGGATTGGATTGGACATACACTGAGAGGACGGTTTGGGGACACCACGCAGCAGACGAGGCCCTCGAGTGGATTCGAAAGGGAAAACGACGAGTTGAGTGTGTGAGTGTGACATGGAGGAGATGGTGATTTGAAGAAATGAAAGGTAGTGGGCAGTCGTGAAGGCAGGTTAGAAAGACAGTGGAGAAGAGAGTGCAATGGTGACGTGCTAGTGAAGCCTTATGTTCCACTAGGAACCCAAGTGACAAGGAATAATAATAAATAAATACACCTGATCATTTTTTTTCGTTAGTAAATTGCTATCTGACGCCGTAGCCTTATTTTATTCTCGGTACATTTGGAAATTGAAGTTTTACAGAAACCTGGTTTGTGACAAACTGAAAGCAACAGCGTATATATTACGTTCGTAGCGCTTCACAATCTAAGGTTGAGGATAGCCAACATAACAACTAACTTCAATATTCCTGACACTATGAAGTAATGTCAGATATCCTTATCGAATGTATACATTCTGGACACAAAGACTAAATTGCATAGGAGTTCAAGTATGGACGACGCATACCATAATTTGAGTGCCCTACGCTGTTACGAATCTCAGGGGAAACACTCAGTAGTTAGAGCTTGAGCATAGTAGGACGGGTGTAACTTTCACTTCTCAGGAGAGTTGTTAAGCTTTTAATTGCTCTCCCAATACACTTTGTTCAGGCTGCATCATAAGAATCCTTCAGAAACGAGTTCAATGCCCAGTTAAGGTCACAGAATGAGACTAGAGGCCAAGTCCTTTTCTTTATTCTTTTTTTATACTTGGATCTCACACACAAGAACTAGTTATTTATTGATTCTTGTAATTTCCGTTGCTATACTGGATCGAATCAATCAACAAATGATGTTCGTTGCACAAGAGGTGGCTATCTCCCCACAGTTGGACAACGCTTTGCAATCTGAAGCGATGGTTTTGGGGTTCCAGTCTCAGTGGGAGCACCACCACTAACCAGTGTGTAGGTTCCTCCAGGCGACGAATCCTAAATAGGACGTAACGTGCATCCTAGGTTCCACTGCCATCCATTCATTACCAAGTAGACCATAACAACAGGTGACTCACTGATTTTAGGTGCGGAATCCCGTTAAGTGAAAGCTTCTATTCCGTAAAGGAACATTCCAACCAAAGTAGGAGGTTGTTAAGTTATTTCAATTCGAAGCAAAAAGGTGAGCAATAAAGATGGGCTTCCAGTAACAACTCAGTATCTTTTTGTTCACAGTGAAAATTATCTTTCAAATATAAGCCACCTGGAAAATTTGTATGAGGATATTAAGAAAAGCGTATATAGTGTTAGTCATTTTTAGAATGTCATTCCACATTATGTCTCACTCTCACTTATAGGCTCGTGAATTGTCTCAAGATGTTTAACACTCCTTCAGAAATTTTCAACAGCAAAGTAAAATAGAAACAACTATACTCCGATTTATAAAAATCATTGAGGTTTTCACTATATGATTAAATCATAGATATCTTGTATGCACTGTACACACAAACTTGTTGAAAAGGTATATTTTCATAAAGAAGAGCAAAAACATACTCAATATTGTGGTAAATAATAACGGCAGAGATATGACGAAAAGCTATAATCGATACACAAGGGAGAAAATAATATATATCCCACCTTTCGACTTCCTGTCCATCTACCAGCCACAACACACTGCATCTATATCGCGACCGCATTACCCACCACTCACTCATATTCGATTTGGATATGTAATTAGAAGACGTAGATTATCTGAAAAATGTGATGAATTAGAGCTATACATTTCGAACAATCTGATCACACATTTACTTGTTAAGGCATTATATATGAAAAGTGGAAGTGGGGAAGGACACATATGACATAAAGGAATTCAATAATAAGAAAGATAATGAGGAATAAAAGATAAGACTTGAAGACAATCTTGGTAATACGATAAAATAAGCATTACCAAGGTAGGCTTAATGTAAGGACAAACTGTTTTTGCACACACAATAGGGGGTTAAATTTATTTATGGCTAGCGCCTCAACAAACTTAAGTATACGCCCCTGACAGTTTCGGTGCAAAATTGTAAAGGCTGTCTTGATATCAATTCTGTGACTCTTATCAATGATATGTTTCGCAATGGATGATGATGGTTGTCTGCCATCTGCGCTTATCGATGTTTGTGAATCCAGCTGCTTTCGTAGCCACTTTGGAACATGTTCCCCTACCCTCAAGTGCATATCACGATTCGTCCTCCCTATGTATGTTTGTCCACACGCACATGTAAATTTATAAACGCAATGGGATGTGACACAATCGTTTATACAGCGTTGAGGTCTAGGTAGCAGCAGGTTCGAAATGTATAGCGCTAATACATCACATTTTTCAGATAATCTACGTCTTCTAATTACATTATCCAAATTCATAAAAGGGACTAATTGTTTCATATTCGATTGTCAGTCCTGTATTTCAATTTGGCGATTCGAGAGGATTTATCTATTGATTTCAGGTTGGTATTCATCATGGACTGACGTCAATAGTGACGTGCTGGGCGCGGAACCTGAAGGTCCTATGTTCGATCCCTGATGAGGTCGTATGTGCGTACTGTTGAGGAGTCCCATACGAGGACGAAACAGCTGACTAATGCTCCCAGCTTTCCCATGTTTCTCCAAATAATGTCAATTCGTAATGAATATCACCTACATTCGCTTGTCATACTGCTGCCTTCCCGCCCAGTTTTGCACTAATGGTCTTCATTCTGATTGGCCGACTTCATCTCTCTGAATGATCTTGTGCATAAACTGATCTTAGTGCTTTCGCTAGCCTGTCCGTTTGTGGAGTAAGCTCCTAACTTTGATTGAGTATTACTCAGTTGGATCTTGTTGGCTTTCCTTGTAATTAGTTCGACAATTTTCCCCGCAAAAGCGTCTTAGCTGAAGACATCAATTATTATTACGCTTATCCTGGTTCTAGTCCGTACTTACAGTACCGCTGAGAAAATAAACTACGATAATTTTGCTCTGTACTTTTAGGGTTTAAGCATCACTTTGGCTGAGGTCTAGCAATCACCGTTTCAGATTTGACAAACCATTTAGGTAAACCAAACAGTTATATATTTCATTCAATTCCTTTACATATCAATTAAATAATCAATGCTAAAGTTAATATATTAGCAAGGGAATAGAGAAAAGCAATTGAATAAGTTTACAAATTTCAATCATATTGACAGCAGCTAGTCGCTTAGACCACTTAGTTCACTGTCTTCATCGGACTGATAAGTTTTATGCCGAGTTGAATATCTTGAAAGAACGCGTTTTTGGTCCTCTATTTTTTCATCCTCCTCCTCTTCTTCTTCCTCTTCCTCTTCCTCCGCTTCTTTCTCAGTTTCTTCACCAGCCTCAGTATTTTGATCGTCACTGACTTCATCATCATTGCCACTTCCTAAGAACAGAAAACGAAAAAGTTATTAAATTTCACTGTTTTCTTTTACTTTACTATACCTACTGTAAAAAGCACTTGATTGCTCAGTTAACGCAGATGGTGGCTGTTTAAAAACTGCCACATCTAGAAGACTAAATAGCAGTTAAAGCACGGATGTAGCTCATAGACTTATACATTCAACTCCAAAGTAGAGAGGTCTCGGGATCTAACACCACTCTACGTATATTAAACCCAAAGACCTGGTAGCGCCATAAGCAATTACTTAGGTGTAGCTTAGGGTCTAGTGTGTGAACTTGCAGTGGGTTGAGTTGTATTACAATTAAAACTTACTATCTTCCCATGACAACATACTAGATTGCATTCGTGAAAATACTTGAGTTGATGAAGGCAATAACTATAACTGGAAAAGTAAACGGGACGGCTTTTTTAGCTCTGCTGACTGAAACATACATGAAATATCCAATCCTTATTATTTCATTTGCAAGTATGTTTTCATATTGAGCAACAGAAAACACAAGATGTAACGTTCTTCAGTAAAAAGAGACCAAAACTTAACTCAACCATATGCAGACTGTAAGTCACTAACACTTGTTTGTCACGACTATTATCATTTCCTGGATAAACAGCGATGGGGAGGTGTAGAGGGAGTTAAAACTATAAAACTAAATTGAGTACTAAAGGGCAGTCTCCCGAAACCAGATATACACCCGTGTGTGTTCTGTTCAGCTGATTAAATCAAACAAAAAAATTGGGAAAGAGCATAACACTCACCAACCTTTGTTTGTAGCCTCCGACTAAGCAATTACCGAGACCGACATCAATATCAGATCAAGAAGTATTGCGTAATGGTCCATGTTGCCATACTCTCACACCAGTACATGAAGCGACAAGTATAATGATAGAAGATAGAGTGATAAAGAAGAGAGCAGTGAAAGGGGTGGAAGGCTGTAATAAGATAACAAGGAGTAATAAAGTGCAGGAATTAATATGACAATTAAGATCTGCGCCACTGAGAACGATTCTGAGACATATTGCCTAGTCTCCAACCACCGGCTTTTCTTGTCACGCAGAACCTAACCAAGAATTCTGCATTAATCTATACGACTCGGACTGAGTTTGGTCACTTCCAAACTCTTTCCGGCGTAAACCTAATTGAGTCAACATTGTGCGATGGGGTAAACGGTGACTAAGCATCCGTAACACACGCCCCATTTACATCAGTTGATGGGGGTTGACAACCTTATCCATTGATTCTTCTCTTACACCTGACTTCTACGTCACTGAAGTGGTAGCACCAGGACACAAGACCAGTCTTCTCATGTTCGCTACCCTCAATGGATAAGTCATATAGCAGAACAGAACTATCTGCAATGCAGTACACCTAGCCCTTTATAGGCAATAGGATAATCACAGAGGCACTGTAAATGGCATGTTGACAAAAACCAAGCCATCCGTTTGTATCCGTGCCGAAATCTTGTCGGTCACTGATTGGCCGACTTCATCTCTCTGAATGATCTTGTGCATAAACTGATCTTAGTGCTTTCGCTAGCCTGTCCGTTTGTGGAGTAAGCTCCTAACTTTGATTGAGTATTACTCAGTTGGATCTTGTTGGCTTTCCTTGTAATTAGTTCGACAATTTTCCCCGCAAAAGCGTCTTAGCTGAAGACATCAATTATTATTACCTCCTCATGGACACTCCTCGACAAACACAACTCACCAAATATCTCACCATAAGCTCAAACATGTCAACAGGTGTTCAAACACAAAGCCTTCAACAGCATGATGTACCCTACTTGGAACTCGTTTCAGTGAGAGGCACTGACAAAAGACCTCTCGATCGATGGAGTTGAACGCTGTATTCAAGTCGAGAAACACAGCGTTTGGCGTCGATAAGTCTACCTATGTTTCAGAGAGTGGAGGGAGATGGAAATCTGATCAACAAACCCACGACCAGGTGTGAAGCCTACCTGGTATTTTCAACTTTTACATTCCTGATATTCACTTCGGTGTAATTACTTCAAAACAAAGAATCTTAGACACTATGATCGACAGACTGCATCGTGGTTATCACAGTAGTATTTCTCGCCCTTCTTGGAGAAAGTGATTGAGACTAGTCAGCACGGATCATATTTCATTCCCATACGCCAGTTAACGCTTCAGTTAACCTGACTAATAATACAACATAATAGTATATAAGTACTTCCGGTACTGTTCTGTCTGACCTTGATGACCCTCTCCATCTGAAGTAACTTGTGGTGTCCTCGACCTTTTTGAAGAGCCTATCTCCATCTTCCATTCCCGATGCAACTAGATAGTGGCGACAGAATAGTAACTGGATCTACCCATCGAAGTCTTTTGCTTGTGGTCCCAGTTGTCTCCTCTGGAAATGAAGACCGAGGATAATGTTGCCCCAACTCAAGTTGTTGTCACGAGTTACAGGTTTGGAAGAAATTCACCCACGGAATACAATTTGGGTGATATAAGGCGGAGTTCTATCAAAAGCTGTCAATTTTCATGCATAAGCTAAAGTTGTATTAGCAGGTAATTCCGACGATTAAGTACAGAAGCTGAACAATAACTGAAAGGCATCCATGAAATAACCATGGCATACTATACTAACGAAACGAAAACGGTGATTGCCTTTTACAATTGTATTCTGACAATCACTAGTACTAACTTCAATCATAAGGAAAGATGTCTCATTTGACGTTGGCTAACGTGAAACCAAAAGCGGACACAAGTAGATTATATCACCATAAGGTATCGTTGGAGAAAATCAAGCGGAATATTGCCGCTGTTGCTTAGGCTCCGATGATGCGTTAGTTCAGACACGTGTATATGTTTGGATCTTACTGCTTACAGAAAACGGGAATTTGGGGACACCACGCGCCAGGCTAGGCCCTTGAGTGAAAGCCAAATGGGAAAAAACGAGTTGGGTGTGTGAGGGTGACATAGAGGAGATCGTGTTTGGAAGAAATGAAAGCTTCTGGGCAGTCTTGGAGCCAGGTTCAAAAAAACTGCAGAGAAAAGAGTGCAATGGAGATGTGCTAGTGAAGCCCAATGTTCCACTAGGAACCCAAGGGACAAATAATAATAATAAGACTGAAGTATAAATTACCTTTATAATTACTCCGATGACTATTTAATTCTCTATCATCCATCGCTTCCTCATCAGCATTTTCATCGGCATCTGGATTCTCTTCGTCATCTTCTTCATCACCCTCAATGTCATGTTCAAGCATGTATAATCGATCTGTTTGAGCCTTTAGTTCTTCATCAGTGAAATCCCGATGATGAACAACTAGACGAGTTTTTGGATTCTGCAAAGTGCCCACATTAGTTCCAGATTGATTTAATTTACGCCGTTTACTAAGACGAACTCGAGTTTCTAATTCGTTATAGTAAACTCCTGTGAAAAATCCATAGAGAATCAAGTGAAAAATTAGAGATGGATAATGAGAACGGTAAAAGCTTATACAGCCTTTTTAATCTGATGTTAATTGCCCAGACAATAACAAACAATAAAAACAAAAATAATAAAAAAAGATTGAAAAACTACAAAAACAGAAAGTACTGCACTGTATTCCATATTATCCTCCATTGAAACATATAACCAACTTCAAAGATATTGTTCTCGCTCCACTTAAATTTGTGAAGGGAAAGTAACGTATCCCTACCCAATATTTCACTTCGCAGAAACATTCGGTAACTATATGATTCAGGACATTCAGAAAAGTAGCTAGACTGAAACTCCATGAACACTGTTTTGGTACATGTCGCTTTCCTCGTCAGATTGTGAATCTATGCGATGTAGCAAACTACCAACTCCGCAAAACAATCTTCCACGTTTCGTTAGGTCTGAAGTCGAGTGTTACAAAAAAATTATGTCAAAGGTGCGAACCGAAGTTGGCATATTTGAGTACATTTCTCTCAAAACTCAGCACTGTTGCTCACGTCAAGTTTACCAACTTTACTCACGACGTCCAGACATATATATATATATATATATATATATATATATATATATATATATATATATATATATATATACATATAGAGAGAGAGAGAGAGAGGGAGAGAGATTGCCAGTTATACTATCACCCGTTGATTATTACAAGAAGATTTGGACAATTAATCCTATCAGATTTACTGGCTTTCAACAATCGTGGGTTTCAAGAGCTTTTTCCTCAACACCTGTTAATGAATCTCTGCAGTCTGTTGGAAATGCTTTTCGTAACGCGCCAAGTCTCTCAACCTTCACATAGAAGCACTGAATTAGTGTTGAAAATCCGGATCTTGTTCATGCTTTATGCTGAGTGCAGTGCGGTGCAGTGCAGTGCTGTGCAGTAGATCTCCACACTGATTTCACGTTAGTGAATGCCTGTTTTGCTGGCTTTTCCGATCCTGGCTTTGAAATCCTCATCTGTGCCTGTGTCCTGTGTCGCCACCTGTAGTTGAAACGATGCTGCCTCGCCTAAGTAGGTGAAACAGACAACTTCCTTTAGGTTTCTCCTGTTCATGGTGATTGGTGCTTGTTGTTGTTGTTGGTTGGGTATCTTCATCACCACTGTCTTCTCTACGTTCACATGAAGGAAGTCCCATCTTCGCTGCCCTATCCTGACCTGCCCTGCCTCTTCTGACAACGTGTTAGTTTTCGCCTGTAGATCTTCGAGTTTGTGTGACAATACATGAGACATAAATCATCATCGTCGGCGAAATCCAAATCTTACTCTGGGGTCTTTTCATCGGTCCAACCAGCGTATGCCCACCTTCTCGCTCCTCACTGTTTGTTGCATGATCCAGTCCAGTCCAGTCCAGTCGACCACAATCAGGAAGATGATCGGTGATAGTAGGCGACAACCTTGTCTTACTCCTGTCTTCACTTCGTTTCAAAGGCATCACTGAGCTTTCCATTGTGAATCACTTCGCATGTAGCATCATATAGCATACCATAGCATGGCATGGCATGGCATAGCATAGCATATAGCTGCTGTTGAATGAGGTTGATAAAGGTTTATGGTATTAAAACCGTAGTGTTGAAGCACCTGCCCGCCAAATTACTTCTCGGTCGACGCTGTCCAAGACCTTTTCAAAGTCGATGAATTTGAGGTAAGGTGAAGAGTTGACTAGCATTCTATGCTCTGTTCTATCATGATGCGTAACGTTGCAATTTCATCCGCACAGGATTTGTTCTTCCTGAAGCCAGCCATCCATCCTGTTCCGGTCGTAGTTTTGAATCCAGAGTATTGTTTAGTCTCTCCAGGATGATGCGACTTAACATTTTGCTTGCTTTGGGTGGACAGGGACAGTAGTATGATTACACGCCAGTTCTTGCAAATACTTAGGTCTCCATTGTTTGGGAGTTTGACAAGGTAGCCCTTCTTCGAATCTCCAGGTGCCTTTCCTCCCTTCATTCCAAACCTTCTGCAGTAGTGGTGTGAAAATGTCCACCGTCGTCTCTGCGTCTGTTTTCAGTGCTTCTGGGGGAATTCCATCTGGTCCTGCTGCTTTCTCGGATCTCAGCAACTTTATGGCGTTCAGGACTTTGGCTCTTGTCAGAGGGCTTGTGTTCACTGGTAGTTCTGTGGCTGTGCTGCTGGTGATTTTTCTGGACGAGTTCCAGGTGGTGGTTGATTCAAGAGTTTTTTGGAGTGGTCAACCCATCGTTTCCCTTGTTTCTTTCTGCTCCTTGGTAACTAGGTTTCCTTCACTATCTTTCATTGGTTTCGTCTGCGTTGATCTCTTCCCTCCCAGATAGTAACCTGGTTATTTGATATAATGTTGTCAGATCTCTGTCTCCCTTACCTGCAGCCTGTTCTGCTTCACTTGCAAGTGTGTCATAGAAGTGTCTTTTGTCTTTCCGTGCACTCTTCTTCGCTTCTTTGTCCAATGTAGTATTTTATAGGTTGTGTTCAGTCCCTCTTTTCGTTGTTCATCCCTGCACCGCACTGCACTGGTTCATCTTCTACTTCACCATCTTCCTCTCCCTCTTTTATCAGCTTCCATGTGTCCATCGAGATCCATTCCTTATCTTATCTTGTCTTGTTTCTTCTTCCTTCCTAATACGGTTATGCAGGTTTCCTTCCACGTCTCTTTCAAAGAGTTGCAGTGTTCTTCCACTCAGGTTTCCTCGGGGATGTTGCTTAGTGTCTCCCATTTTGTTCTGATGGCTGACTGACGTTAAGATGTCCTTTGTAGTTTCGTCCTTCAGTTCAGTTTCTGTTCTGGGTGGTTGTTGAACTTCAACTGTGGTCTATCACCAGCTTCTTATTCGAAGGCTTTCAACTTGAGTTTGAATTCAGCTCCCTTACACTAGATAGTGAGTGGTGTGAACCTACATCTGCTCCTCTCTCTCTCTCTCTTCTTCGTCTGATCTTGTGTCCAGTAGGCTGGCTGCGTCTCCACTTTCTTCACATTGAAATGAAGTCGATCTGATCTTTAGTGTGTCCTGGTGTCTGGTGAAATCAAATCCATATCGCTTCGTGAATATTCTTGTGTTTGTACACACTGCTTCCAATCCCCAAATCGTTAAATACACAGAAGTCTGCAAACAGTTCTCCATTCTCAGTCATCACTTCACCGAGTGCTTCTCGACCCATGATGAGTTCTCTTCCTGTGTTGTCTGCTCCCAGTTTGCCATTCATGTCGCCCCACCCATAAGAATTTTGATGTCATCATCGTCAACTGAGATGGGGTCTTGTTCTGTACTGATTGGAGTTGTCTGTAGAATTCCTCCTTCTTCTCTTGATCTGCATTGTTTGTAGGTGCGTAGCGTAGTGTAGCATTGTATGATTGTGACTTTCCTTCCTTTTGAGTTGAATCTTGCTGTCATGATCCTGATTGTGGAGAAGATTGGTTCCCACTGCCCGAGAGAGAGAGAGAGAGCCTTTGATGCTCTTTGGGACACCATGATAGCCACTCCAAAACTCAGTATGCTCGTGGTTGTCGTTTGGGTGACCGGAGTAGATTATTGACTCCAGTTGACAGTTTGGAGGGTCCACTTCCATTCCGTCTGCTCTCGCAGATCCCAAGCACTTCTATGCCATACCTTCTCATCTCTTTTGCAATCTGAGTAGCCTTGCTAGGTTCAACACATGGTGCGGACATTCCATATCCCCGTTCTTACTTTCGCTTTCATCGAGAGAGAGAGAGAGAAGACACATCGGCCAATTGGCTTCCCGAAAGCTTTCACCATTTCGTCTCTCCGATTCCAGCGAGGGATAAGTTTATTTTTATTTTGAGTATTTTCTGTGTATTTTAAGGTTGCTTTAGTGGTTGGATTTGTTTTGCGGGGTAGGGTTGCTAGCCCTACGTCCAACTTTCCCTTTTTTTGCGGGCTTACGGCTGGCAAGTAACTAGTGAACTAGTTAACCAGACGCGGTTCCAGGAAGTTTATGTATCGTCAAATTGTTGGCGTGACATTGGGAGTTCCTCGGTTCTCATGAAAGCTGATAACTGAATGGGAAGCTTGATCGTATGAGTATGAGGTATTTAATCGATGAGATAACCTTCTACAGTAGTTATTTTGGTGATACATTTGAAGATTTTGAGGCTGAGAGGTGGAAAAGTCCTCAATAGCGGTATCGCTAATCACCTTGTTGATAGTGGACATGAAGTTAATATTCAGAAGTCGTTGAAAATAAGTAATAAACAGAAACTAATACTACCTATCGTGCAGTAAGTTATCTTAAAAATAATCTTTTTACCGACGAATACATGGATACATGATTAGTTAGCTGTATTCATTTTACTAAGTAGAAAAGACAGTATCTTAAATATTGATTTCACTTCCTCTTTTCACATATAAAGAGTTTGTGTATTCAATAGGAAAAGAGATTAAGCAAAGAGGTTTACCATCTTTACGAAAACAGAAAAAATAATTCTCTTCATAGTTGGCCATAGTTTTGTTCTTAACATTCCAGTTGTACTCGCGCGTGAGTTCGTATTCATAAGCAGCACCTTCTGTAAATGGCATCTGATTTTCCGTATCAAAACGACGTAATTGTTTAGTTTGTTCAGTAGGCAGAAAGAAAGCTACAAAATGGTCACCGGATTCGTCCACCATACCACTAAAAGCAGAATATGGAAATAAACAAAAATAGTCAATAATAAATAACTGATAAGTAACATGACAGGTTTGTTTTGGGAAATATATTTCGGTGATGAACAAACATTGCAAAATATTTTAAAGATCCTTTACGACTGTAACCAAACCATTTTTATTACTGAGACCAAAGTTCAAAGATACGGGAAAAGAGGAGAAAGGATTATCAGATTTATGAACTTTACATGGTAACTCTAACAACTCCGATCGAGTATTTACTTTGATATGGCAACAGTATTTACATACAAACAAAAGTCTTAATGTTAGGTAACTTTTTGTTCAAAATACCAGAAGATGAAACGATACTTCAATCAAAGCTCAGTAAACTATATCTATGTGAAACTTATACTGGGGATGATTGAAGGTGAGAAGAAAATCTGGACCACGGCCGGATTCGAACTAGCGACCACTGACGACCGTCACGAAAAATTTCTACTTGTTTACTTAAAAAAAGCCTTTTAAATATCTTGACACAAGAATCGTGACAAACCAACACAGTGCATTGATACATGTACTTTCCGTTTTAAAACTTAGGTATTCGATAAAGCTAGAAAACTGAAGAATAGTTAGACTGACTAACAACAAGGAATTATCGGCTCAAGACCTGGTAATTATTAAGTAACAGCGAAAGTTGTCTCAAAACACATCACCATATCAAAATTAAAAGCGAAAATGGGTCAGACAAAAAAAACTGAACACAATACCCAAAGTCGTAGAAAATCTTTAAGGCAAATTGTAAGCCAAATCAAGTCGCAAAATTCGACATGACAATCAAAATGAGGTATAAATGCATCTGAGGAACTATCACTTATCTGTGGCATATCATATATTCTCCAAACGTCGATCTCAATTTTCTCTTAAAATGAAACGGAAAACTTATACTTGCTTACAGGGATGAGACCAACAGTCAACGATTTTAATCGTTGATACCATATATTCATTTAGTCACCCTTAGACTTAATTCGACTTAAACTGTGCAGGCGATAGCACTGAATTGGCGTGCACAATATATCCTCCAACTACCATAAACGATTCAGGTTTATATATAATTTTACCAACTGAATAACCTCTGCACTTTAGACCTTAGACCTACTCTCCCCTCTGCCCACATGCTGATTTCATCATATGGGGACAACATCATCATCATCATCAATATCAACATAGGACCAGGCATTACTGCGTAACGGTCCGAGTTGCCACAGCTCATATCAGTACATCAAGTAAAAAAGGCAGTGGGGTGGTGCACGATGAAGACAAGAAAATTCAGTCAAAAGAAATATAAAGTACTACAAGAGAGAAAGGAAGAATTAGGAAATGGTGAGATTCGGTATAGCATCGTTAAGAAGAGAATAACGTGTGTATACGTCTGCACCACTGATATCGGTTCTGAGCCATATCACTCAGAGTGTCCAACCATTGGTTTCTCTTGTCCTGCCGACCCCAACCGGCTAGTTTGTAACGCCCCACATGGCTCAAACCAACAGTCAGAGACTTGATACGTTGGTGCCATGTTTTAGTCTGACCACCTCGAGCCTTTTTCCAGCCTGGATCTCCCATGGCCAACATTGTGATGAGGCAAACGGCGACTAAGCATATGTAACACATCCCAACCATCTCAGTCGATGAAGGTTCATAACCTCGTCAACTGACTCACCTCTTCTCCCCAAAACTCTACACCTGACTTCTGCGTTACTCACGTGATGACACCACGGAATACGGTCCACACTACGAAGGCAATGGTGGTCAAGCACCTGAAGACTTCTCATGTCTTCCATCTTCAATGGCCGCGTTTCACAGTCATACAGCAGAACAGACAGGGCTGCTAGCAGTATACGCGACATTTAATAGACAATCGGATATCACGGCGACCCCACAGATGGAGTAAGTTGGCGAAAACCAGCCCACCCTTTTGTATCCGTGCAGAGATTTCATCGGCCACTGAGCCACCACCACGTCTGATCCTACTTCCCAGGTAAGTGAAGAGGTCGACACACTCAATCACTACACTCTCTATTGTTAGCTGCAGCTGGGCACCGTTGAAGACCGATCCTGAAGCAACAATTTGCATTTAGGTGGTGAGAACCGCATCCCGAACATTCTCAAATTGCCACTCAAAGTATTCAGAAGACTCTGCATCTTGTCAGAGTCTTCACCTAACAGGACTATGTCATCTGTGTATTCTAGGTCTAACAAAAATTCTACTGCGATTAGGTCAACCTCTTTAGCCAGATAACGAGAGGGAGACCTCCATAAGAATATCTAGGATAAAATTGAATAAGAATGGAGAGAGTGGGCACCCCTGACAGACACCAATCGATGAGCATAGCTTCCTGGACATCTCGCCATAGACTTTAACACGCCCACAAGTGTTCGAGTAGAGGGCCTTCAATAAGGTGATGTACTTACTTGCCACACCTTTCAGTGAGAGACATTGCCATAAGACTTCTCGGTCGACGAAGTTGAATGCCTCTGCCTTCAGGTCGAGAAATACAGCTAGTGTCGGACGTCGGTAAGCGTGTCTGTGTTCCAGAACCTGGCGCACTGTGAATATTTGGTCGATACACCCGCAGCCGGGTCTAAATCCTGCCTGCCTGGTTTTCCCGGGTTTGCTGTTCCTGAGCTCCAGTCAGGCGTCAAAGAATCATAGAATCTTAGACACCATGTTCATCTGGCTGATTCCTCTGTGATTATCACAAGACGACTTCCCGTCTCTCTTCAAGACTGGAATAATCAGTGATTTAGACCAGTCAGAGGGGATCGTATTTGATTCCTATATACTGGTTAACACTTCCGTTAGCCTGACCAAGAGCACCTTACCAGCATCCTTGTATACCTTAGGAGTTAGTTCGTCTGGTCCTGCTGCCCTTCCTCGTTTCAGGTTACCTACCGCTTTCTCGACTTCTGCTAGTGTTGGGAGGCCTATCTCAATGTCCCGTTCAGGATCTGACTGGATAAAGGGCACCGTAATGATGGCTGGAGGCCAGTTAAACTGTTCTTCGAAGTGTTCTGGCCATCGTTCGAGTCGACTCAATTGCCAATGAGTCGCAGATCCGTCCTTCTCTGCTATAGCCTCACTAACTGTTGTTGACCTTTTCCCCTCAGTCTCCTAATAAGTCTAGATAATTGTCTACTGTTACCAATCGCCGCCGCCTTTTCCATCTCTTTGGCCTTCGCTGCCCACCACCGTTTGCGGTCGTTGTGTAGACTTTTTCTCAATCTACTTTAAAGTTGTGCTCGCTCTTCATTGTACTCAGAGCCTGCAGGCAGGGATGGGTTCGCGTGCATCCATTAGTCTGGAAGAAGCTGCTGATATCCACCGACTGTTTTTAGCCACTCTTTTGGAATCGGCTACGGTCTTCAGCACTGCTTTTACAGCAGACTGACTGGGGATGGCACCAAGCTTCTTCTGGATGAGTGATAGTCTTCTGTTCCGATAACTGTCTAGCCAACTTCTCACTGGACACGGCTTTGGTGTTTCCGGTTTCCAGCAGCACTCGTAGTGGTTTAGTTGGCAGATTGTTTCTACGTCCATTGAGACGCAAGTATATACACGCTCGGACCAACCCGTGGTCGCTATCCAAACACGTACTCCTAAAGGAGCGACAGTCTTCCACCGATCCTCTCCAGCGATGACTAATAGCAATGTGGTCCATCTGTGTCCATTGCTAAGTTGAGCTTGGTCGTTGCCATGTCAGAAAGTGTCTTTCTTTGTGTCTGAAATTTGTGCTAGCTGAAAATAGGTGGTTATCAGAGCACAGCAGTTGTAGTAGGCTATCACCGTTATCTGTCCGTTCAGCCGGGACTCTGAAAGTGCCACCTAAGTGCCTTTCTGCCTCACTCAGTCTGCCCACCTACTTGTGCATTGAAGTCACCTGTAACAACCACCACGTCCGAACGTTTGGCTTTCGAGACGAGGCTAGACAGTTTTCAGTAGATTTTGTCCTTCACTCCATCCGAACTACAGTCAGTGGGTGCGTAAGGAGAGATTACAAAGAGACAACAGCGAGTTTCACTATTGCTGTTAGTTGTCACCATGCCGTTCAGTCGGATAGCGCAGAGGCAACTATCAACTGGGATTCAGTCTAGTAGTGAGTTTTCTGCCCTAGTGCTTAATGCCATGCCTACACCTGCAAGACCGCGAGAGCTAGCTATCGAGTCTCCAGAAACTCGAAGGGTTAATTTCGAGAACTCACCAGGTTGGACGGGAGAGGTAAGGTGAATAACCGCAACTGGGTCCTGTATGCGAGTCTCACACACAGCACACATCTATGGCCCGAGTTGTTAGAGTCTTTGCCAACGAAGCCTGTTGACCAATTTGACGGAGGGAACAACACTACAAAGGCAAAGGTAGTCAAATGCTGGAAGCTTTTTCCATCCCTCAACACTCCGCTTCACTTCAGTCTTCCACCGTATATCTCGATTTAAACCCAATGTAGATACTGATTCGTCAAATATCATCAAAGTTAGAAAAACCATTTCAAATGTGAACCAAGACGAAGCAGCATGTCCTAAAGGTTTGCTTACAGTGGGCTTAGTTAGGAATCACTGGTAAGAACGACTGAGATAATACCTAGCGTTATGGAGGTAGACGGAGTTTTAGCAAATTAGTCTAAAACGTTTTCACCTGCCAAATGTAAGATGATGCCTAAAGAGATGTCTGGAGGAGAATGAAGTTATGGTCAACATATCCACGACCAGGTGTGAAGCCTACCCGCTGTTCTCAGTTCTCCTGTTCCTGATTTCCACTTCGATGTGTGATAAATTTAGAAACAAGAATCTTAGACACCATGTTCGACAGACTGATTCCCCTGTGGCTGCTACTGTAGGACTTCCCCTTTCTTAAAGACAGGGAAAATCAGTGGTCGGAACCAGTCAGCAGGGATAATATCTGATTCTCACAAGCCACCTAACACCTCAGTTAACTTGACTAATAATAAAATGCAACGGTATTTAATTACTGTCCTG